AATAATAATAATAATAATAATAATAATAATAATAATAATAATAATAATAACAATAATAATAATAATAATAATAATAATATTAATAATAATAATTATAATAATAATAATAATAACATGCTAGTCGATAATGTAATAAAATAATAAATAAATAAATAAATAAATAAATAAACAAATAAATAAATAAATAAAAAACATGAATATTAACACATTCATATTAATATTTAATATTAGTTTATTAACAAAAACAACATGCTAGTCTCCAATGAAATCATTTTAATATATTTTCCATCACAATAAGTGAATAAATAAACAAATAAAAAAAAAGTAAATAAATAAATAAATAAATAAATGTTATTATTATTATGATTATTATTAATATTATTATTATTATTATTATTATTATTATTATTATTTATTATTATTATTATTATTATTATTATTATTATTATTATTATTTATTTATTCATTTATTTATTTTTATTATTTATTTTAAACAAAACAACAATATACAGGAGGGTATAATAATAATAATAATAATAATAATAATAATAATAATAATAATAATAATAATAATAATAATAATAATAATAACAAACATGTAAATGCAAAAACGAAGTAATATAATCCTTTGTTAATCATCCCATTTATCTGAACCGGCGAAAAAACACACAGACGTGGCATTTGAGTTGAGTTTCAGAGGAAATGAGAGGGAAACGCAAACATCAGGCCTGGTTTATTCTGGTCCTGATGAATCTGCTGGCTCTGCTCGGGGTCAGATGGATCATTTCAGACTCATCCGCTCAACATTCGTCTCTTCTGTGGCCACAAGGACACACTTTTACTGCATTAAAGGCTTTGTTTGCGTAATTTACTGTCTGAACTTTTAACACAAAACTGATGCTCAGATGCAGCAAATATTATTTATACAAAATTTCTAAAGATTAGAATAGTTTTAGAAATTATTCTGAAACTTTTGGACTTTATGTGAGATGCTTATTATTTTGTTATTATCCCTTCAGGTTGAGATGTATGTTTGTATGTTCTTTAAATATTTTAATTCAATAATTTTTAATAAGCTAATTTGTTCAAAGGTTTTTAAGAAAAGATTTTTAAGAATTAGTTAATATAGTTTAGTTAATATACTAGTAAATAAAGTTAATAATAAGCTTTTATATCTTTAATAAACACTTTATTTCTTTCTTTATTTAAGATACATTGTTATGAGGACAACAACAACAAATACAACATTATTATTATTATTATTATTATTATTATTATTATTATTATTATTATTATTATTATTATTATTATCATTATTATATTTTAAGCTATTAAATAGTTATGTTTAGTATTTTTTAATTGTTTCCATTTTCTTTCGGTTATTTGACAGGGAGATTTTGCAAGTAATTTTCATCTAAGAAATATTTAAAAAAACATAGCTTTAAGAAATTATTTAGTTATTGTAGTTATTGATAATGACTCTCATCCAAAGTAATTTAATTAAATGTAATTAAATTTAATTAAATTAAATTTAATTTAATTTAATTTAAATTAATTTAATTTAATTATTTTTTTTTTCATTAAATTTTATTTTATATTTATTTTATTTTGTATTTATTTTGTTTTATATTTATTTTATATTTATTTACATTTATTTTGTTTTATTTTATTATTTAATGATTTAATATTTTAATTATTTTATTAAATTACATTTTATATTTATTTTTTGTATTTATTTTTGTTTAATATTGATGTATTATTTTTTTTAAATATTTTAATATTTATTCTATTTTATTAATTCATATTTTAATTTAATTTAATTTCATTTTATTTCATTTTATTCATATATGATATTATTTTATTTTTATTTAATAATTAACATTTTTTATTTTGTTTTAATTTAATTTTATTTTCATTTATTAATTCATTTTTTATTTTATTTATTTTTTATTTTATTGAATTTCATTTCATTCCTATATTATTTT